CAGAATAAAGATTGGGACATATTATTGGGACAGAAAAATCAGAGGTAGAGAAGTTAAGAAAAGGTATTTTTTTAATTATTCTCCTGGTGGCCGTGAGGTATTATTAAACCCTGGAATCCCCTGCCTCTGACATTCTAGTGGCCGCGAGGTATTATTAAACACAGTTATCCCCTGCTTCTGACATTCTGGTCCGCGTCATCCACTGATAATTAATATGGACTAACGTCATCAAGGACGTTTACTCATAAGGCACTTGCGCCTTTAACTAAGGAAATAGAAGTGATTAGGTCATTTAACCTCTTACCCGTCTCCAACCTATACGAAACGAACCAATTGTTTTACCCCTCTCGCGGAGATGCGGGGTGGATGGCTGAATGGTTAGAGCGTGCGCGTTATATCATAAGGTCTGTCGTTGGGTCAACAACTAGCGTGGTTTCCATTCCCTGTTTGTACGTGACAAGAAGTAGGGTCGCCTGTCCAATCTCGTGGGTTTTCTCCAGATCGTCCGGTTTCCTCCCACTGCTAAAGACCCCTACGCGCAAGCGAATTATTGAAATAAAATTAAACCATATGTTAGTCCCGAAATGACCTAGTTTGTGTCGAATTAACGTTAAACCCCATTTCTCTCTCTCTCTTTTACCGTTATCATTTCAGGATTGACGAATTATTTGAAGGAACTAGGGATTTTGTTGGGCCTATGTTCGGTATGGTTTTCAGACCAGAAAAGGAAGTTCTGAAAGATGCACAGGAAAAATTGTTACCAAGATATTTGCCCGTTTTTAATAAAGTAAGCTTAGATTCGTAATATCTCTTTTATTTAGATCCCCCAAAATGGGTTCGGAGCAAGTAATAATTTTTCGTTTCGATTTTAGTCTAAAGTTGAAAATATCTCTTTAACTGAGTTGAGCGGATGTGTAATTAATTTCAATTTATGTTGGGCAAAGTATTTATTTTTAGTTTTAACAGATTAACTCGTTTGTTTACTTATTTTAATTTCTTTGTACACGCAAAATGAATTGATAATAATATCCAATTAAATCGAGAATTATATTTTTGACCCAGATAAAAGCGATCTATTTATTTTTCGAACTTCACATAAAACATTTCAAAATAGACAGTCATATATTTTAATCTGTGGACCTAATATAACTATTTTAAACAATGGGTTCTTTAATTATATACGTGCTAACGTTTTCGTCCCATCCGAATAACTAAACTCTTCCCCTTGCACCACTGATAAGGGGAAACAACCGTACCTATCTCAGTCAAAACACGGATCGACCAAAATTAAAGACCAAAACAGTGCAAGAGAGACCCTAAGCTATTCCACTTAAATGGACCGCCCCCTGGTTGAGCTTCCACTCGCACGACAAGAGAGAGAGAGAGAGAGAGAGAGAGAGGGGGAGAGAGAGAGAGAGAGAGGGGAGAGAGAGAGAGAGAAAATGGGTTTAACGTCCACTCGACACAAACTAGGTCATTTCGGGACTAACATATGGTTTAATTTTATTTCAATAATTCACTTCCGCGTAGGGGTCTTTAGCAGTGGGAGGAAACCGGAGGACCCGGAGAAAACCCGCGCGGTTGGATAGGCGACCCTACTCCTTGTCACGTACAACCGGGGATTCGAAACCACGCCAGTCGACTCAATGACAGACTTTATGATACAGCGCGCGCACGCTAACCATTCAGCCATCCAACCCCCTACGACAAGAGAGATGTGACAGTGTGTTTTAAACAAATTGAGCCAAGCCGAGGATAATGACGAATATTTAAGACTACGGCCCCTTCAAGAAAGGTTATGGTAGTATCAAAAATATTATACACCTTGGCCGGAGGCCTCCTTGATATCGAGGCCCTTGGATTTAGCCTATCAAGCCTATCTGTAAATTTATTAGTTGAATCTTTACCACAGGTATTAGAGGAGAACGGAAGTGGTTATCTTGTTGGTAAAAGTTTGACCTTGGCTGACCTTAGTTTAATAGAGCCTCTACTAAGATTTGTAGAATATCTGGGTGACCAAGTCTTAACAGGATATCTACAACTACAGGTAGGTTTAAGACGGGTTTCACAGGTAATATTTTAACATGCTAGAGATTATAGTTGTTCTCTAATCTTTATATACAAGTGTATAGTAGTCCTGTGTATCAAGTGTATAGTAGCCTTGTGTATCAAGTATTTATCTAATCCTTATAAGGCATATAGAATTAGATTTCTTAAATTAAAAACACTTATATGGATGTATTACTTCTATCATTTTTTAATTATGTGTAACTAATGATAAATCTGTTATATGGTTTCCAATTGGACCACATGTTTATTAAATATCATTATTTGCTTAATAACGATATCTGTATGTGTATCGGGACGTAGCATGTTAATAGAAGTAGTATATCTATATAAGTGTTTTTTATTCATGTATTAACGATTTCTGATCATTATAATCGAGGATTAGGTGGTCCTAAAGGCGCTCTTTTTTGAAATTATATATATTTGAGGATAATTCTTGTGGGACTGACACGGTTATAACTTAGATATTTGACGATAAGTAAATAATTATCATCCGTTTCCGCTTCCGATAAACAAATTCCATTCATTAAATTGGATTTTGGTAACAAACTATTTAAAATTGAGATATATCGTATTTGTACAGACACATAGGGGATATTTCACATCATTGATTAATGGTAACCTATTATACGTTAATAAAATTCACACTAGTTTCCAGGTCCGGTAAATACATTGTATAATCAAATGGGGCTTTGGAAATGAAATGAAATGGCGTTTAACGTCCTACTGTTTTGCTCCTAAACTGGGCTAATGAAGACGGGCATACGCCATACAGTGTGCTATAAGGGAAATTTTGCCCGGGCAGCGGCGCTACGGCCTACTCTTATATCGAATTCCAACTGCCAAGGGATCTTTTACGTGCACGCCAATGTGTACACGGGACCTCGGTTTTTCGTCCCATTCGAACGACTAGACAGCTTTCCTTGTCAGCCCCTCCGTCCTGCATCACTGACAAGGGAGAACCACGCCGGAAAATCTGGATGAAAGATGGGGCTTTGGTATCAAACTATTTTAATTTAGGTAAAATTCCCGTTGTACAGACGTGTATGGGGTGTATGGGGTATGTTATTAATATACCAGACTAAATGACAAATAATACACACAATTTTTTTTTATGTAATAAACATATTTTGACACACATTCTAATTATGAGATCCGAATATACCAGAATCAAAGCTAAAGAAATACATAATTTTATATTTTAAACAATCACCACATTATGTTCCATTCAAATCAATCAATAGTTATTTGATTCAAATCAATCAATAGTTATTTGATTCAAATCAATCAATAGTTATTTGATTCAAATCAATCAATAGTTATTTGATTCAAATCAATCAATAGTTATTTGATTCAAATCAATCAATAGTTATTTGATTCAAATCAATCAATAGTTATTTGATTCAAATCAATCAATAGTTATTTGATTCAAATCAATCAATAGTTATTTGATTCAAATCAATCAATAGTTAGTTGATTCAAATCAATCAATAGTTATTTGATTCAAATCAATCAATAGTTATTTGATTCAAATCAATCAATAGTTATTTGATTCAATAGTTATTTGATTCAAATCAATCAATAGTTATTTGATTCAAATCAATCAATAGTTATTTGATTCAAATCAATCAATAGTTATTTGGAGCTTACATTGCTTTCTATTGATTTCACATGACTGTTTATAGGGGATGGAGGCTGTCTGGATTGTAGCCAGCAACATGTCCCTCATAGCACACTGTATGGCGGATGCACGTCTTTATTAGCCCAGTCGGAGCAGAACAGTAGGGCGTGAAACCCCATTTCATTTCATTTTCATTTCTGTTGATGCATGTTCATTTTCAGCCAGCGACACCATGCGAGCGTAATTCGGCCACGGTCTTCCCACACGTACTACTAAAGACGTGTTTTTAATACTCATATGTGCTTGATTAAATTAATAACGACATCCTTTACAGTAATATACTTTCAGATATATCTGCACGATTGGGCTTGCTTTTTTTTAAAAATATCATTTTAATTTCAGACTTTGTATAAGAATATGATTTCAAATGAAAAGATAGCATCCTTCCTGTCTGGGCCACATAGAAAACCTAAAAATGATCAGGCGTACGTCGATGTCTGGTCGTAAATGATCCTAGAGGTTTATTCCAGTTATTCTGGTACTAGGCATATTACATAGAGAAAAAAATATATTATTATATTAATTAACATTTAATAAAATATAAGTTTTACGATCCATTTAATACAAGGTTTATTAAGAAGGGATAAAATTGTAATGTGTAAGACCATATTATATAAATTATAAATTTTACTATCCATTTAATACAAGGTTTATTAAGAAGAGATAAAATTGTAATGTGTAAGACCATATTATATAAATTATAAATTTTACGATCCATTTAATACAAGGTTTATTAAGAAGGGATAAAATTGTAATGTGTAAGACCATATTATATAAATTATAAATTTTACGATCCATTTAATACAAGGTTTATTAAGAAGAGATAAAATTGTAATGTGTAAGACCATATTAAATTAATTAACATTTAATAAACTATCAATTTTAAGATCCAAGGCTTATCACGAGGAAATAAAATTGTAATGTGTATTACCTTATTATATCAGTTAATAAATTTAATAAATTTTAAAATACTGTGACTTCATCACCATTGTATATTATAAAGGGGCCACAGGATTTTAAAGGAATGATCTGATCGAAAAGTTATGAAAATAAATAAACCACCTAGGTCCAACTAGGGGGAAATAGCTTCATGAAAAACCCGAGAGAGAGAGAGAGAGAGAGGAGAGAGAGAGAGAGAGAGAGAGAGAGAGAGAGAGAGAGATTAACGTCGAATCGACACAAACTGGGTCATTTGTGGGACTAACACATGGTTCATTTTTTTTTCAATAAGAGGTTTTTAGCAGCGGGAGGAAACCGAGAGGACCCGTAGAAAACCCACCGGGTTGGACAGGCGACCCTACTCCTTGTCACGTACAACCGGGGAATCGACATTACATCAGTTGACTCATTTAAAACGGAATCACAACAAAAATATAATGTGTTGATTAATACATCACGATTCAAGGGTGGATCAACGCAGTTTTTCACTGCGGTTGAAGGGTTGGGGTGGTCTAATGGGACCACTAGTAAGCCACGGGCATTCTTGAATTTCTGTAAATATCGGAGAAATATGTGAAACTAATACAAAATATTAGGCTATTACTGGCTCCAAATGTTGTTCCAACCCATACTCTAAGAAGAAAGTAGTGAGACGTTAATAGATTTACAAGTTGGGTTAAAAAGTACAGGAATCGAAAGATGCCGTGTATCATTGAATTTGTGAGCGCTAAAGTTCGCAATATGTTGGCCGAGTACATTTGTGGGGGATGTGGGCAAATTAAACGGTGAATATTACCAACTAAATTTAATATTAAGGTGAGTTTTTAGATATACGTATGGTCAACAAATCCGACCGTCTTATTGTATGACCACGAGTCTCTATTGATGGGGAAACCATCATTTTGTTTCCAAGAAAAACCAACAACAGAAGACATTTTTTGATAACCCTATTGGTCAGGGGTCTACAAATTGTCATTAAGTATATCTTAAAATCGTTTCTATGGTCAGAATAAGAATATGAAGTGATTTTGTATTCAGTCATTCAGCCCCTTACCGACATGGTACCATCACTTCGATGGGGTGCCACAGAGATCAGTGATGGGCCCTGTACTAATTAAAAGGTATATTATTACATCACTGCGATGGGGTGCCACAGAGATCAGTGATGGGCCCTGTACTAATTGAAAGGTATATTATTACACCTGTTGGTTGTATTGCTGATCAAAATTAAACCAGACCTAGTGTGCGTGAAATGGTAAATGTTTAATGATACTGAAACATATTTGTGCTATTTTAACATAATGACATTAATCATATCATTCAAGAACTTTTATTCTTTAGGGTGGTCAAGTAGATTTCTACATTTATACATATTCAAATTGTGAATAAAAAGACGTTTTAAAGCATTTGAAATTTGCGATCTATTGAAGCGGGCTGTACACAAATTTTTGAATTGAATACGTTATTATTAGATAATGTTGTGTCACTTTGAACACATCAGATGACAATAGTTATGAAATAACAAGATTAAAATTAGATAATGGTTTTCAAAAAGATTAATATGAAGGGAAAGATAACCTCAATAAACAGACAACACACGCGTTGCTATTACAGAATGTAATATATGCTGTTTGTAGTCCGTTATAATTGATGATACGGCAATGTTTTTGTAATCAGCCTTTTTATCATACGAAGTGTGGATGGGGTGGGGCTCAGATAAAGTAAGCTCTGGCGTGTAGAGTTTACAAAATGTAAAATATAGAAAAATTTACATACCGCATGATCAGATGCGCTGTACAATATACATTACATAAAAATAACAAGTTTAGTTAAATAGGAAAAGTACTCAATAAAAATAAAAACATATATATAAAAGTATTCAATGTGAAAAAAATCTAAAAAAACCAACAACCTACATTTCAGAATCTATAATAAATGTAAAAAAGAAAGTAGAGTTAAATATAAGAAAAACGCTTTATCTCTTATAAACCATGTCTGTTACTCACACCATGCCAGAAATAATATAACCTTTTCTTTAGCTTGTGATAGATGAAGACCTTCGGGTTGTCAGATTAGTTGAGCTAAAAAGACATTCATTTAAACAGTATTACTCCCTGGAGGTAATAGAAGATGGGATGAACAAGGCTTCGGCAATTCTTGAGGGCTACTAAATTAAAAACAAACCAGCCTGGATAATATCATTACCTTTGTCGCTATCCATAACCCCCAAAATCCCAACTTCTTTATCACAATGTACGAGAGCAGGACAATACTGGCATCAAACGACAAACTCATCTAATCTCAAAGACAGACACCTAATCTGAAACGCCCCCTAACCAAAGCTAAATTCGATGTATCTATCACAAGAGCCGGGTTTTATGTAACGATATAAATGTTGCGATCATATAACGTCAAATAACAACTTTCATAAATTTATTTTTAACGTCAACAACAATATGAATTGAGACACAAAAAATCTCATATGTTTTCACATGTAATGGTTGTCGAACTTTTATACCGGAGAGACGGGCACACATCTACGGGATAGAGTACGCAACCATGGAAGGGATTGTAACATTGATAATGGGCCTTTATTTATAAATAGATGTGCACAAAACCTACAAGTAAAATTTCAAATTTCCATTTCAATGAATGACATCACGAACAGGAACATAATGGATAACCATTTTATTAAAGCAATACGTTCCCCAACTTAATAGTCCTTAATTAACAATTGGCCACTAATTTCATTAATTTTCTTAATCTATCCCAGGATTATCTTCCACTTATTGTTCCTAAATTGTACCCATATACAACATATTAACACACGTGTATACATGTTTTCTGTTAATTACCGATATACTATGTAACCATAGACAATGGTAAATATAGCCAATTAAAACCACAGTGTTACTATGTATAAATATACTATACTGTCCATCTTTATACTAGGACATTATTTATGAATAGTCCCAAGACGGAAGAAAAGTATTTTAAAATGTTAAAATATATCAATATATACTCTTCAAAAAAGTAGGGGATATTCAGAAACATCCAAAATTATATGATGACCAGGTCAGTATGTAGCATGTCTATTGTGTTCAGGATGATATTTAACCTCAATAATATATGATCAAATTCTCTCTTACCGAGATTCAAACGAACCTATTTTCCTCCTAATTAACATCTGTTTATTTCTTGATACGTCGGTCCTGGCATCACTATCATCTTGGTCGTTTAGTACAAGAGTAAAGTATTTCTTGGGTATAAAGTCTTTCATGAGGACATAATCTTGTAGAGGTTGTGGTAAACCAACTTGAGTTATTTTACTGCTGATTCCTGATCCGATACAGTTTCCGATTTCTCTTCTACATCTTGACATCAAACTTCGTGATTTACAGAAATCACGAAATTCATCAAGTTGTTGTTTATCTTCAGATTCACCCAGCATCGGATTATGTGTAGAAAGCCACGAATCAGTATTTAACACCAACAAAACAATAATGTTTTCTATTCCACTCTTCGGTGCACCACTTTCAAACAGAATTTTAGAAAGCATCGAGACATCTGGAAATTGAAATTTATCTTTGGCCTTTGAAAGATCCAAACCTTTGAGAGAACAATTTTCTGTTACGAGATACCATACCAGATCTTCTTCGTTTTTTCCCAGTAACCGTTGGAATAAAGTGTCCAGTGACACGTGACATCTATTGATTAAAAGTAATTTTAGACAGTTGATCCATTTCCGACCCCTTCCATCACCACCAACCATTATACCATGTATAGCTGATCTTCCATCAGTATCAGTTTTATTAACATCAGCTCCAGCGTTTAGTAAACTTTCTAATATAAATCTATTACAGTCTCTTGCTGCTATCATCAAAGCCGTCTCTCCATTATTATCACTCAAATTGACATCGGCTCCAGCGTTTAGTAAACATTCTAATATAAATCTATTACAGTTTCGTGCTGCTATCATCAAAGCTGTCTTTCCATTATCATCACTCAGATTAACATCGGCTCCAGCTTTCAGTAAACCATTTACAATCTTCCTGTTATTCAACCGGACTGCAATCAACAATGCTGTATTTCCATCCTTATCGCTCAAATTAACATCAGCCCCAGCTTTCAGTAAATCCTCACAATAAATTTGATTATCCTTCTGTACTCCCACCATCAACGCTGTTTTGCCATTGTTATCACAAATATTATAGTCTGCACCATTCTGTAATAGAAGTGATAGAATAGTTTCATCCTTGTTGTAAACAGCATACATCAACGCCGTCTTACCATCATGGTCTTGTAGGTTGACATTACAGCCAGCTATCAGTAGTTTGTCTACCATAGGTTTACGTCCTCTTCCTGCTGCCGCCATCAAAGATGTTTGGCCATTGTAATCACAAATATTATAGTCTGCGCCATTCTGTAATAGAAGTGATAAAATAGTTTCATCCTGGTTGTCTACAGCAAACATTAACGGCGTCTCACCACCATGACCTTGTAGGTTGATATTACAGCCAGCTCTGAGTAGTGTTTCTACCATAGGTTTAGGTCCTCTTTCTGCTGCCACCATGAATGATGTTATACCATATTCATCTGCGGCATTACCGATACTCCCTGTTTCACTTCTCAAATCTGAATATTTAAGTAAAACATCCCAAACTAGTGAATTATTCAATAGTGCTGCAAGGAATATAGCATTCATACCTAATATATCTCTGGGTTTCAGATCGGCACCAGCCTTCAATAGAACATCTACCATAACATTATCCTTATTCCCAACTGCGATCATCAATGGGGTTTCCCGTCTCTTATCACAATGGTTAACATCAGCACCAGCCTTTAATAAATCTTCAGTAATAGATCTTTCTTGTTCAGCTACTGCCATGAACAAAACCGTTTGGCCTTCGACGTCACTAAGGTTCGGGTTTATTCCATTCTGCAACAAGATTTTTATAACATTTCTCCGATTCTGATGAGAATATCTCATGACTTGTAGAGCTTTGTGCAACGCTGTCTCTCCTCTTTGATTCTGGTGATTTATATCACAATCTTTTGATATCAGCAATGTCACCAGTTGTGTTTCACAATGTTGGGATACAAGAGCGAGGGGTTTGTCTCCATTTTTATCTACCGTATTGACATCGATGCCATGTTCGAGAAGTAGTGAAGTCGATTTATAATCGCCACTGTGAATTACTGTACACAGCCTGTTATTATATGTGTGAATATTAGTCCAATCTAACCCAGCCTCTATCATCATCTCAAGAATATCTGATGAAGAATAATGCTTATAAGGATGGTAGTAAGAACATAATAAGTATCCTAGTACATACCGACCTTTCTTATCTTTAGCATTTACAGATGCGCCGTGTCCAATAAGTAGTTTAGCTACAACTTGGTTGTCAGTTTTTACGCATTCCATTAAAGGTGTAACGCCATTTTTATCAGTACTGTTAACATCGCATCCAGCTTTAATCAGCATTTTAGGAATGTTCGTCTCTGCTCTTCGTATTGCTACCGATAATATTGATTTCGAAACGATACCTTCTTTGATATAGACATCACAATTTGAATTAATTAATGACTTCACCATCTCTTCATTTCTTTTACAAACTGCTAAATACAGCGGGGTATCGCCAGATGAGTTTACTTTGTTTATATCGAAGCCTTTAGATATTAAGAGTTGAATACAATCATCATAAGAATCTATCTTATCCTGACTCTCTGCAAGATAGCCCCAGATATCAAGTTTTGCTCCTGTTTGTGCTAAATATATTGCCGTTGTCACCATATCACGTTCAGCAGCCATTTGAATGGGCGTTTTCCCATTAATATTATCATTGACAGCTTCTATGAACCGGAGATAAAAAATAAAAAAAAACCCATATAATTATGTTAAATATTGGACCGTACCTTCATGGATTATGACCTGGATTGTAATAAAAATCGTTGTTTGAACTTATGGCACCTCTAGAGGTCACACATCTAAACCGACTTTGACTTTGATAAAACATAAAGTATTTGTTTTTATCCGAAAGATTTCGTACAAGTTTGATTTTGTGCGCATCGGACCCTCACTTTCTTGGTTATAGCCCTTGATTGTACATAGCTCGATAACACTCTACTGTCTGAACCATCGTAAATTTTAAACGGATTTCTTCGATTATGAACAAACTACTTGATTTTGGTTATTATAAACTTACCTGTGTGTTGGAAATTACGTCCGGATATATAAAATCAGTTGTACAACTATATGTCCTAGCGAATAAAAAATAGTTCTCTCTTCTAAAATTGAACTCCTCACAAACTTTGACATCGAGAAATCAAAAATGGAAGCTAATTACATCACTTATCGGGACAGATCATTTCGTATAAGGGGGTCTCAGCAAGGCTTGTCTACCATAACGGTGTTTGGCTCTTTTACGACAATTCAAATTTTGTGTATGAATAAGCTATTACTCTCGGACCCAGTAATTAGTTTACAAACAGTCCGTTATTTGGTTTCCTTCTTGTATTAATTTTTTGGGTGAGATTATTTCTTTTGAACACAGGTGCTGAACAAAAAGAACGACATTCCTTTAATATTTCCTGGTGAAATCGGCTGTAGCCGGGGTAAATCCTTAAATGCCGATGTATTTTACATTTGCCTCGGCAAAATTAACAGCCGAGGCCATTGAATCATTGAATAGGTATATAACGTTATTACTTTCTTTTTATATATATAAATACTAAAAATTATTATCAACAACAAATCATAGCGCACTTCGGTTTAATTATGGACAGATAGGTCCATGTCTTTCTATTTCTCTTCGAATATTATTTCCGTTGTGAAAAAAATGGTCAGAATTTTGCGTCTCGGTAACAAAATTAATTTCCGAAAATCCCGGCTTCGTTTTTAAATTCACAGGGCAATGTATCCATACGATTGTACTCTCAGTTATTAACTATTAGGCCTATATTAATCACAAGTACAACTCCATTTTGAAATCCACAGAGAATGGAATTTTCCGATGGCATTTCGTAGATCGCAACCATGCCTCGGCCAGTCAACGATTTGAATTCTATTACCGTAAAAGGTGTCATGACATATGAGTTATTGATTGTGAAAATGGTTAAATTTAGCGCGAAACTTGCACGAGATTTCTCCACGGTCTGCATAATTAAAACACAAGACCCAATAATACATGCAATCTGCGATACATCTTTTATTAAAATATATGTACTACACACTAACACAGGGTATTTACAATAATGAGGTGGTAATGATGTGAAAAGCAATATTTACGAGTATTCGTGTAATCGGTGATATATTCATTGTGTATAAAAATTTAGTAGACTGACAATCAATTGTTTCCAAATTAATTTTATTGTCTCCAGTTGCCATTTTTGTTGCCTAAACTCAAACGATCGGAAAGGTCGCGCGTTGTTGTGATTGCAGCACACGTGATTGTCAAAATTTGTCAACCATTGCCCCCTTCAACATATTAAGATGGTTTAGCTCATCACGTGACATGTACAATGTTGTGATGAACTTAGTCGAAAATACAAGCAAAAACATTGACTTTTCAAGAGAGAACTTTTTTTTTCGTTGGGATATTCAATTGTGCAATGGATTTTATTCAACCGGAGGTGATTTCAAACACATAGACAAGTTTTTAAGGGCAGGGTAAAGTGACACGATCTAGTTGCATAGTAGTCTCAACACCAACAAGGCTGAAGATGTTATTTCCCAACACAGAATAGTGGCCCTTAGATACAAACGTCCAAAATAAACTCCATTACTCACAATACACCAGTTCACTGTCAATACCCCTTTAATTCGTACATTCGCGTGTTATCACATAAACGAAAATTTCAGTTTCATCAGTTTCTTGCCCAATCGCGGTTACACCTACAGACAAAACGATAAAACTTGGGGACAGCTATTATCTCTCTATTTATACTCTGATCTATGTAGTACAGTAGTCGAGTTGCTTTCCTATTTCCTTGTAGTGTGAGATTTCCACGGCTTGCTACCACGGGTCTGGGATCCGCCATTTTCTTTTCAATCTTGAAAATGACCCTTCTTATCTTTAGACGAGTGATGCGAATAATCGTTAAACTGACAACGCTTAGCGGAACATTGTATAGATATGCAAAGGCTTCATTTACATCACCATACATACAATTATATCGTATTCCCTTTAGTAATAACACATTTCGCCGTTGTATAAATGTAAACAATGTTTCGTAGGTAGCTTTCGTGTCCGAATATGTGATATGTCCTTGACCTTATGCTAATATCAATGAGCAAAGTGTTAATTTTAAATACACATTTTTAATTTAAACAACTGCTGAATACGATTAATTCATATCAAAATACAAATGAGGTGTCATTTACGGGATTTGATAATATTAAAAAAATAAGTTATGCATGAACTCATCGATGCGACCAACACTTACTTTGAGCGGTAATTCGACACAGAAAGGTAAATAAAAATACAGTACATACTTTTTGACTAATACTATCACAATTATCCTTACATCAGGTGGTAAATCGTAATATTATAGACTATTGCGCTTCATTTGCAAGAACTGTCACATCTATTAATATCAATATTATTCATATGGACCGTTCTGTAAATTGGTGAAAACAGAACTGTCAAAATCTAAGCTATCATGGCTGCCGTTGTCAAGTGTTGGTAAATGTTAGCAAAAAGGCTTGTTTTTAAATTTGGATAGATTATTTGGATAGATTATTATTCATTTATGTTAGAATAATAATCATTTTGCGGGTCTGATATAGAATTTGTTACCTAGATATACTTTTTGTGGGGCAAATTCACGTCTATGGAGTACCATTTGAAACACATCATATTTTCTAATCAATCATTCAGCTGGACCTTTCCACATTCAATAATGGGCTATTAGTGGACAATCAAAGATTAAACAATGTGTTGAGTGTGAATAAATATTGATTAAAATTTATAACAAATTATTTTAGTGTAAAACGTAGTAAAAATGTTCAATCTTTAATTGTCAGTGCATCTTTATGCTTTCTGGCACAACATTTCAAGGGGTGAATTAAGAAGTAATACAAATGATAGCAATGTGTATTCATTATAAAATATTGCTGAAAACCTAAAACAGTTTCAAAGAAATTGTGATGCAGTATTTACAATATTCCATACAGACCAGAAACATTTAATTCAAATGATGTTTATGATGGTACTTCATACAAAAAGTCTGAAAGTAGTCCCTTGAAAAAAATGGATATTTGAAAAATAAAAGTTTAATTATATGGATTTGGTGTGCTCAAACAAAGATAGTTTTCAAAATGTGAAGTCTTGATGGTTGTAGTGTATATATTCAGGTATATCTGTGAGACTTTGTGATTTCCCATGTTTAGTTGTTTACCCTGTAGCGGCGCAGTTACAAAGTCATTATTTTTTTTTATTTTCATCCATTCTTTATTGTTCAGGATCATCTCAAGCATTTCTAGACACCAAAAAAGGCACTAAAGGTGTTGTGAATGATATTTTGAGGACCCCCCCCCCATTTCAGATGTTGTGCCGTCTTCATTAGCCCAGTTTAGGAGCAGAGCAGTCGGACGTTAAACCCCATTTAATTTCATTTCATTTCGGGTGTTGTGACAATTTTGGTCACTTTACCTTGCCCTTAATAACAATTATTCAGTAGTTTGTTCACAATCGACGAAATCCGTTTATAATTTACAACGGTTCAGACAGTAGATGTCATAATTTTTATTTCGTTTTAAAAACCGTTACCACAAACACATGGACAAATATATAGACGTCACAGACACACATATTACAGTCCCGGGTCTGTAGTGATAAATATACAGACGTCACAGACACACATATTACAGTCCCGGGTCTGTAGTGATAAATATATAGACGTCACAGACACACATATTACAGTCCCGGGTCTGTAGTGATAAATATATAGACGTCACAGACACACATATTACAGTCCCGGGTCTGTAGTGATAAATATATAGACGTCACAGACACACATATTACAGTCCCGGGTCTGTAGTGATAAATATATAGACGTCACAGACACACATATTACAGTCCCGGGTCTGTAGTGATAAAGACTTTACTGAAAATGAAAAACGAACTAACAATGAATATTTCCAACCGGTGTATAATACTAATACTAGTGTGAGTCCTAATTGGCTATATGCTGCATGAAACATAAATGTGGGCACATTGAAGGAAAATATCTTATGAGTAACTGTTTAAATGAAATTTAGTGGTTGAAGTGGGGGATAATTTCAACAAATAGGATAATTTCATTCGTAACAT